TGCCCTGGTCGTTCAGCCAATTCTTGAGATGGTCGGTCTCAAATTGTGGTCCATTATCGAACACCATTGATTGTGGCACACCAAAGTGTGTGATTATGTTCTTCCAGATGAAGGCGGATACATCACTACATTTAATCCCTCGGACGGCTTGGCTTCCACCCATTTTCTGAAGTAATCAACTACTACAAACACATACCGCCTTTATCTGAATGCAGGAGTATACGACCCCAAGATCTCCATGGCCCATTTTGCAAAGGGAAGTGGACTACTTATGGCCGACAAGTTGTTTGTCGGGCGGTGAATAAGGGATGCAAATCTCTGGCACTTGTCACATTTTTTCACCATTTTCATGGCGTCTGAATTCATGCTCGGCCAGTAATACCCCAGATGGGTAACTTTCTCAGCTAAGGCTCGTCCGCCTATGTGGGATCCGCAATGGCCTTGATGGAGGTCATCTAGCACCTCATGCCCCCTCTCGGGCGTGTCACACTTCAAGTAAGGCTTTATAAATGATTTTTTGAACAAGTCATTTCCCTTCATCTCAAACCATGTCGCCTTTTGCTTCATCAAATAACTCTCCTTGGGGTCGTCCGGAAGAACTCCATCTTTGAGAGAGGAGATTATTCCGTCCATCCATGTGAAGCTTCTGTCAATGATTAACATAGGCTCGGCATCGATACTCCTCTTTTCCTTGACTTCCCAGAACACAAATCTCGGAGTATCACATGATGCCGAGGAGGCTAGCTTGGACAGGGCATCTGCTTGATAATTGTCGGACTGAGGGACTTGTTGCAGCGTGAAATGTTCTAGGCTCTTGGCCTCATCTTTCACCATTTGCAAATACTTCATCATTGTCGGCTTCCTAGTCTCGTAGTCACCATTCACTTGGTTGACTATCAGCTGAGAGTCCGAACAGGCATCAATCTTAAATGCCCCGACCGCCTTACAAATTCTGAGGCCGGGCAGAAGGGCTTCATACTCGGCCTAGTTGTTAGAGGCTTGAAACTAAAATCTCAAAGCATATTCAAACTTATCTCCTTCGGGAGATAGATATATGATATTAGCGCCACACCCGGTCGCTGTTGCACTTCCATCCACAAAATACCTTCCAAATTTAATCCCCTGTCGGCTGTAAATTAGGCCGTGTCATTTAAGCCAAGAAATCTGCAAAGGCTTGGCCCTTGATTGCTTTTTTAGGTTCGAATGTGATATAAACTCCTCTCAATTCTAAGGCCCATCTGAGCATTTGGCCACTGGCCTCTAATGTTGTGAACGACTTCTTCAATTGTTGGTCTGTGTAGACCACAATTGAATGAGCAAGAAAGTATGGCCTTAGCTCTTTTGATGCCACGAACAATGCCAAGCCGAACTTTTCAATAGGTGGATACCTAAGCTCGGCATTGTGCAGAACGTGGCTAATGAAATACATAGGGATTCGATGGTCGTTCTTTTCAGCAAGCAGGACGGCGTTTAAGGAATAATCTGAAATAGCCAAATACATGTATAGCTTCTCATCTTTGAGGGGACTGACGAGCCGAGGAAGGGTATGCAAATGATTCTTCAATTGTACGAAGGCTTCCTCGGCCTCCTCTGTCCATTCGAACATTGTTTTTTTTCTTGATAGTCTGGAAAAAATAGCGGCACTTATCCCCTAATCTTGACAGAAATCGTCCAAGTGCAGCTAATAAGCAACCGGTCAATCTTTGAAATTCTTTTATGGTTTTGGGCGATTTCATGTCTAAGACCGCTTGGATCTTTTCAGGGTTGGCCTCAATGCCGCGCTGATCAATAAAAAATCCGAGAAATTTGCCGAACTCAACACCAAAGACACATTTCTTTGGATTTACGGTTTTTTTCACGAAATACCACTGAGTTTTAACAAAATTCACCAAATACCACCAACTTTTTTCAAATTCACCAAATACCATTCAGTTTATACCCATTATCACAGAATGCTTATTTTCTTAACAGACGTTAGCCTGCCATTTGTGTAATTTTACAAATTTGCCCTTACTTCTTTAACGGCGCCAATTAAAGCATTGACTCTCACAAAAAAGCACAGTACACTGAATTGCAAATCGCTTGGAGGAGAAAAGTACTTTGGCGCTTCAGATTGAACCAGAATTGCAAATCGCGTCGGTAGCTGGAGGTTTTGGTGATTGTGACTGAAATTCCAACCAACTTAGGAACTGAGCTATTAGAAGCTTATACAAGGTAAAATGTTGTTAATCGATCTTCATTTCGAGTTGTGATTTTGTGTTTTTTTTTTGTGAAATTGAGTTAGGGTTATGGTTTTTTCAGAAATTGAGTATTTGCATGTGATGATGGGTTTTTTTTTTTTGTGAAATTGCTTTAGGATATATTTCACTTTGCTGTGATTTATTGTGAATTGTGTGTGTGTTGATGTTGAAATGTTGTTGTTTGTAATTGTTTCGTAGGACGAGTGCGTTGTGGCTTTTAGTTCATTATAGGAGTGATGATTTTGATGTTAGGGTGTATGACACTAATAAGACTAATTTGATGGAGTTATTTGAGTACATGTTTGAGGATTTAGTTAAGCATAATGTGTACCTTCCTAAATCATTCACCATGTTTGTTGCTAAACCTAAAACAAACCATAAGTTGGAGTTGGTGGATGATGGGGCTATGTTGAAAATGTGGGAATGGAATGAAGGGAAAGAAGAAATTGAGGTTTTCATAGAGGAAACAGATACACCATCTCTTGTGTTTAAGTCTACTGAAGTTAGTTGGGCAAAAAGGTTTAAAGACTAGGATGAGAAGAGTAGGTTAGGGGAGGAAGAGAATAGGAGAGAGGCAGAGAAAGAAGAAGCCGATAGACAATTTAGAGAACAGCAACAATTCACTGTAGTAGTAGAAGTTCCTGTAATGATTGTAGAGGACAGTGGGGTTGAATATGTTAGGGTATTTAACACTGCAGCTTCCGATGAGGTCTTTCCTGGGACATCACAACCTGAGCCATCACAAAAAGAATCACCCCCACATAAACAACTTACACCTCCACCAACTGAAACAAACAAGACACCTACTCCAGCTAAAAAAACACCTAGGAGAAAGAAAATTAAACCTAAAAAGAAAAAGAGTCAGTCAACCAAACCAACACAACAACCTTCTCCACCTAGGCAGCCTACACCACCACCTACAGATCCTGACCAGGGACAATATCAACCAATAACACCAACACATGTCCCTTCACCACCAAACACTCCAGTCAACCCTAACATGCAGTCTATACTAACTCCACCAAACACTCCAGTTAGACATCCTACACCACCAGTATCTCCTCCAACTAGGGAACCTACCCAATCTCATCAACCTTCACATCCACCTAGGAAGGATGGGGTTGGGTCAAGCTCAGGTGTTAAGGGCAAAGGGCAGACAAGAATTAAACCAAGTGAGTGGAGGGTGCCTAGGAGTATAGCCTAAGTATGGTACCTTTGTAGGGAAGAAGAAAGGGGGGAGTAGTGTTGGATCAGGGAGTCAAGTTAGTACTAGGAAGAAGAAACAAGTGTCTGTTTGTGAGAGTAATGATTCTTCTGATAGTCTGGGTTCTAAAGATAGTGAAGATGAGGACTATGTGGCATCAGACATAGATGAACTGGATATGCATTTAAATAGTGAAGATGAATTCATTGTGGAAGAGGAAGACCTTGGTGATGATATTCCTGCCAAAACATTTGAGGATTACCTTGATGGTAGCCATGTGTTAGACAAAATGTACAAGAATGGCAGAATATGGTCTCATTTACCATTTGGGTCAATTCAACTTGAGCCATGGTTGATTTTTGAGAGCAAAACAGAGTTCCTTGAGGTGTTTAGGGACTATTGCATAAAAGAGGGTTTTGCCACAGTTGACTATGCTGACAGTCAAAGATACACAACAAAATGTCTAATTAATACCTTCAATTGGAAGATTAATGCCACAATTCTGACTGATAAAGTTAGTTGGGCTATTAAGAAGCTAGAAGGAGAGCACAAAACTTGTGGGAGGCTTGAAAAAAAATCCTATGGTGTCATCAGCATGGCTATTCAGGCACCTGTTGCAAGACTTGGAGGCAAATCCTGACATTCTAGTGGATTCATTGTAGAGAGTGTGCATGGAAAGATACATGCTTAATGTGAAGCTGAGTTTATTCTACAAAGTGAAAGCATTAGCTAGGGTGCAAATTCATGGGGGTTTTGCTGAGTCATATGGACTGTTACCCAAGTATGCCGAGATGATTAAAGCTACAAATCCTGGATCCTATGCACTTGTTACCTAGACTGACAGTAGAAATGAAGGATTAAAATTCAAGACTTGTTTTATTTCATTTGAAGCTCAGGTGAAGGGTTTTTGGGGGTGGATGTAGACCCATCATAGGCATAGATGGTGCACATCTTAGTGGCTATTATAAAGGTATAATGTTGACTGCGGTAGCAATTGATGGCAATAATGAGATCTTTGTCATAGCCTACAATCTGGTTGATACAGAAAGCATAGATAGCTGGACATATTACTTCAGGAACCTCAAGCTTTTGTTTCTGCAATATGGATGTCAAAAAGATGACAGGACATTCATTAGTGACAAAATGAGGGTAAGAAACTATATATGCATTAACTGTTTTTGTATTACATACTACCAACCTAGACTAACTACTTTATGTGTCCTTTTTTGAAGGGTGTTGAATAAGCTCTGTTTGAAGTTTTTCCAAGAGCAACAAGGAGAATTTGCTGCCAGCATCTTTACTCAAAATGCAAGAATGCCGGATGGAGTGGGAATGCCTTTCACAAGCTAATTTGGATTGTTGCCAATGCCTATAATGAATATGTATTTGAAAAGGCAATGTCCAAAATTAAGGAGTATGATGTAGCAGCAGAGCAGTACCTCAGAGATATTGAAGAACAATAGTCAATCCATACATTTGAGAGAAGAGTTTGTTGTGATCATAACACACCTTACTTTGTTGAATCATTCAATGCATGCACAAAGCCAAATAGAGATATGCCTATTTTACCATTATTGGAAGGTAAATTACTTGGTATCTTTTTTCTTGCTGAACTTAGCATGTTGTAACTTGTTTTTAATTGTGTTGTTTGGCTTTTGTGTTGATGTTTGGTGAAAACCTGCTGTGAGAAACTGGTGCATGAAGAGGATTGGAGCTAGATTTGACAAAGCTATTGACATGGAGCCTACTTAACTAACAGAATATGCAAAAGGGATTATAGAGTCAAGGAGTGAAGACTCTAGGTTCTGTCATGTGACAGCTTGTGGGAGTGGAGAGTTTGAAGTCAGGGATGGGCATGTGAACTTCCCTGTCACACTTGGGAACAAGACATGTGGGTGTGGGAAATGGCAAGGTTCAAGGATACCTTGCAAACATGGTCTGAGGGTGATTTACAACCAGAGACTTCAAGCAACTGATTATGTTTCTTCATATTTCAAGGGGGCTGCATATAAAATGACTTATGGAGACCATATCCACCCTATGTCAGATCCTACTCACTGGACAGGGTTTGATGTCCTAGAAATTGCTCTTTCTACAGTCAAAAGAAGTGCAGGGAGACCAGCAAAGCAAAGAAGGAGGGGCCCTAATGAAGCTAAGAAGGGTAAAAGGCACAAGAACAACAAGTGCAACCTATGCAAGGAATTGGGGCACAATGCATTAACCTGCAAAGCAAGGAAAGAAGCTGCAAAAAAGAAACAACAAGCTGCCAACACATCAAAGCAAGCTAAAGGAAGGGGGAGGAATAGAAAGGCTGACACTCAAGCTCCTTGAGGTTCACTGCTGCTGCACTTGATCTTTTTTTGCCTAACTTTTTAAATTTTTTTGACAACAAATTATGTTCTTAATTGCTTGGTTGTTAGGTCTAAATCAATTTTTACACGACTAACTTATTTCTAAGCACAAATTACTCCAAGTGCATATTTATGTAGCACTGATTTTTTGTTTACAAGAAAAACTTATTTAAATGCAACAAATACAATGATTAAAAACATAATTAGTCCTACTTTAATTGCTCCATGTACTAGTTTTTGTTGTTGTACTAGTCTTCTCTTCAGTTGCTTCAACTCTTGCTTGAACATAGTCTCATCTCCATGAAATTGTGCATCAACGCATTGCCTACATTGAAATTGATAACCTGAACCAACATTTTACTCAATATTACCCTTGCACCATTTGAATTTATCACATACATCACACATATAATACAATCTTTGAGGATTTTTTGCCGAATCGGAGCTCCTAATTGCAAATTTCCTCCCACATGAGCACGCTTTGTTTGACACTCTCACGTATGGAGATTCGTAACATGAGGATGACGAATTAGAGTGTGTGGACATGTTTGCAAATGAACTAAGGTGTGGCTGTGCTTTACACCCTATAGTGAGCTGCTTTTATACATAAACTAGCCGTTAGAAATGGCAAAGGCTAGTTTTTTTTTTTTTTTTTTTTATATATATATATATAAAAAAGCCGTTATTAGATTTGGGTATATGGTGAAATAAGTTTTATTAGTGTGTATACGGTGAAATTTTTTTTGTTAGAGTGGTATATGGTGAATTTGTAAAGTACCATTAACGGCAGGCTAACGTCTGTTAAGAAAATAGGCATTTTGTGATAATGTGTATACACTGAATGGTATTTGGTGAATTTGAAAAAAGTTGGTGGTATTTGGTGAATTTTGTTAAATCTCTGGCATTCGTCACATTTTTTCACCATTTCCATAGCGTCTGAATTCATGCTCGGCCAGTAATACCCCAGATGGGTAACTTTCTCAGCTAAGGCTCGTCCGCCTATGTGGGATCCACAATGCCCTTGATGGAGGTCGTCCAGCACCTCATGCCCCCTTTCGAGCGTGACACACTTCAAGTAAGGCTTTACAAATGATTTTTTGAATAAGTCCCCTCCCTTCATCTCAAACCATGCCGCCTTTTTCTTCATCAGTCAACTCTCCTTGGTGTCGTTCGGAAGAACTACATCTTTATGACAGGAGATTATTCCGTCCATCCATGTGAAGCTTCTGTCAATGATTTTCACAGGCTCGACATCGATACTCCTCTTTCCCTTGACTTCCCAGAACACAGATCTCGGAGTTTCACATGATGCCGAGGAGGCTAGCTTGGACAGGGCGTCCGCTTGATAATTCTCGGACCGAGGGACTTGTTGCAGCGTGAAATGTTCTAGGCTCCCGGCCTTATCTTTCACCATTTGCAGATACTTCATCATTGTCGGCTTCCTAGCCTCGTAGTCACCATTCACTTGGTTGACTATCAGCTGAGAGTCCGAACAGGCATCAATCTTTGTTACCCCGGTTGCCTTACACATTCTAAGGCAGGCCAGAAGGGCTTCATACTCAGCCTCATTATTAGAGGCTTGAAACTGAAATCTCAAAGCATATTTAAACTTATCTCCTTCGGGAGATAGATATATGATACCAGCGCCACATCCGGTTGCTGTTGCACTTCCATCCACAAAAATATTCTAAATCTGATCCCCTGCCGGCTATAAATCCAGCCGTGTCATTTCAGCCAAGAAATCTGCAAAGGCTTGGCCCTTGATTGCTTTTTTGGGTTCGAATGTGATATAAACTCCTCTCAATTCTAAGGCCCATCTAAGCATCCGGTCGCTGGCCCTTGATTGCCGCGCTGATCAATTAAAAATCCAAGAAATTTGCTAGACTCAACACCAAAGACACATTTCTTTGGATTTAACATCATCTTATGCTGCATGAGTTCGGTAAATGTTTCTCAGAGGTCATTCAGATGATCGGCCGGCCTCTTTGATTTTACAATCATATCATCAATATAAGCCTCCATGTTCCGGCCGATCTGATCTCTAAGACTGTATTCACCAGTCTCTGAAATGTGGCAGGGGCGTTCTTCAGGCCAAATGGCATAAATTTGTAGCAATATAGCCCCTGCTTGGTCACAAATGCTGTTTTTTCTTGATCTTCTTCCCTCAAAGGGATTTGATGGAATCCAGAGTTTGCGTCCATAAAGCTCATCAAGGCATACCTGGCTGTTGAATCAACCAGGCAGTCAATTATAGGCAAGGGAAAGCTATCCTTAGGGCATGCCTTATTGAAGTCGGTGTAATCTACGCACATCCTCTAAGTTCCATTTGTCTTCTTGACAAGAACTACATTGGCCACCTAGTCAGGGTAGTAACATTGCCGAATGAAACCCGCATCCAGCAGCTTTTTAACCTCGGCTGCGGCCGCCTGATTCCTTTCTTCACCATGATTCCTCTTTTTCTAATGAACAGGTCTCACAGCCAGCTTATGAACTGCTAAGTCTGGGCCGATACCTGGCATCTCATGAACTTCAAACGCAAACACATCTCTGAACTCTCTTAACAGATTCACCAAGTCGTCTCCAAGCAAGCCCATGGCCATAGTGCCCAATTTGACCGTCTGATTAGGCTGGTCTGGGTCAAGCACTATGTCCGTATGATCGCCGGCCGACTGTGGCCTCAACTCTTCTGGCCGATCGACGGTCATTAGGTGCTATGCTTGCTCCTTCTTAATCGACTTGCGCTTTTGGTCGAGCTAGTATGCTTGGAGTGACCCTTCTTCGAATTTTGCTCGAACGCTTTTCCATGTTCGCGTGCTGTTGGCTTCACGACCAGCTGATTACATTCCTTAGCCATGTTTTGGTTTCCTTGAATAGAACGTATCTTCCCATCCGACCGCTCAAACTTCATCAGCATTAAGTGAGGGACAATTACTGCCTTTGCTGATGTCAAAGTCGGGCGGCCGATGATAACACTGAAGCCAGTATGTTCCTTAACAACTAGGAAGCGGACGACCATGTCCCTTCCTTCTCCCTTCTGCCTAGGCCAAATCGGACATGCAAGTCTATCCGTCCGACCGGGTGGATAATACTCCCATCGAACCTAACCAACGGGTGAGAGATATCCTTTAGGGCGCCCTCTAGGAACTTCAGATTCTTCAAACATGCTAGACTGATTATGTCAGACGAGCTTCCTGTGTCTATCAGCACTCGTCCAACCTTCAAATTGGCAACTTTCAAGATGAACACCATGGGATCATTATGGGGGGCTTTGATCTTTCCTCAATCAGCTTCACAGACCGTCACCTCTAGAAAGGGCTCGATCTTTACCCCTTTGGTGTGCATCACATTTTTGAAATTCCAAGCATCTTGCTTGATTCCCTTCATGGTCGGGCCGCCTGCATCAAAGCTTCCTGATATGACGGCCACAAACCCTGATTCTGTGCTATTTCCATCATCATCTTTTTCTTTTTCTTTCTTCTTCTCGGATTTGTTGTCTGTCCGAGAGTAGGTGAACTTGGACTTTAGAACATATAAGTTGAGCATGCCCTTCTCAACAAGCTTATCTAACAACCTCTTCAAATTGTTGCAATCGTTCGTGTCATGCTCCACATCTTGTGGTAATGGCATTACTTGTTCTTGTTTCTGTACTGGGTCGGCCCTCTCAAAGGCTGGGGCTTCTCAAACTCAAACTTATCTTTAATTTCCATTAAAATTGAATAACAATCTTTGTTGTACTCATACTGCGGCTCTTACGTCTTGGCTTTCTTTGACTTTGTCTGTTGGCAGTCGGCCACCCAGACCTCTTTTCTTTTGTTGTTTCCTTCCTTCTTTTTACTGGCCGAATCTTGCTAAGAAGATGGTTTTTTCTCGGTGCCCTTGACCGGCTCCTCTGACTTTGTCAGCGAACAGAAATCAGCTGCCTCAATATATGATTCGACCTCCCGTAGAACACTTGTGTATGTCCGAATCTATTTCCTGATTAAATCAAACTTGAAACCATTGCCTTAAACCTCGAAGGAACAACGAGTAGGCCATTTCATCTGGCAGATTCTGAATTTGAGCTTTCTCCAAGTTGAACCTCTACACGTACGAGCGCAACCCCTCTTTCTTTCCTTGAAAGATGGTCGCCAAGTTAAGACTAGTCTTCCGGGGTGGAATATTGTAAGAGAAGTTTCCAATAAACAATAAGCTGAGAGTTATGAAGAAATTAATGCATCCGACCTGTAGACTATTTAACCAGTCTTGTGCCACACCCTTGAGGGTGACCGGGAAGCATTTACACTAGGTGGCATCATCCACACTTTGCAAGTACATCAAATTTCTTTACGAGGTAACATGCTCTTCCGGGTTGCCAATACCATCATAGGCACCCACGAGTACGCTCTTCACTTTAGCTGGATGAGGAGAGTTAAGAATTTCTTGAGAAAACGGAGGCGATTTGTCACCAAGATTCAACAAGCGCATTTACCAATCTATAGGCTGAGGCTGTGCTGCCAGTCCGCCTAGGTATGCTGCCTGGTCGTACGGCTGGCCATACTGCTTGTACTACCCATAAACAGGGTGAGTAGGCGGCAAAATTAGACTATAAATTCTAGGGAATTTGAAATTGAGGTGGTTGAGTTAATAGAACTAAAGTTGGAGTATGGTGAGCTTGACTCCTGCTGGCCCTGGCCGAGCTGGTATGTTTGGAGAGGATGTGGTTGGAGAAATCATCCGGCATGGTGGGAGTGGAGGTAGTGTCCGAGTAGTGTGCCTGCTCCTGCCGCTTGTGCCGAAGATAATCTCTAGCATCCTTTCAGCGTTGGGACGGCTCGTTCGGCTGCCTCAGAGGCTGCTTGGTTTGCCCCCAGCCGACTGTGTTTTCTCAAGTAACTTGGACTAGTTCATCCGAAGCACCCTTGGTGACCTTGCATGTCGTTTGAATGGGGGTATTCCCAACATCCTCAGTGTTGGCCATCTTGCCCTGGGGTTTCTTTCGGACACCCTCTCTTTCTCTTTTGGACGGCTGTCTAAAAGAAGAGGGGATCTTACCCTCAAGCTCCTTTTGGAGCATTTCCAAGGCGGCCTTTAAGGAAGCAGCCGTGATAGGTGGATCCTTGCCTCATGAAATGAAGCAGTCAAAGGATCACTAAAGTTCATTGTTGCAATGAGATTCTCTACGTGCCCGTCCTCACCAGGACCAGGTGTCTGACCATCTTTAGCCATTTCAGACGTGTATCCCTACAGATGGCGCCAAATATTTCGGGGTTTTTTGGAATCCATCGGGATACAGGTCTTGAATACAGTCGGACGGTCTTGGACAGCTGCAAAATAACAAATATTTCGTTTGACGGAATATTCGACTTCGACGATCAAGTTAGTGATCAGAAAACGAAGTAATGTAGAGAGAGAAAGTAGAGAGAAGTTGGAGCTATTTAGTGCTCTTGAAGTTGGGAAAATTTTTCATGAGAAATTGGAGCTATTTAGTGTTCTTGAATGATTAGGGTATTTATAGGGGTGGGCATGTGTGCTACTTTAGGGTTAGTGCCCTAAAAAGGTGGACTCTAATTGGCGGCGCAATCAGGTAAGGACATGTGTCGTTTGGGGGGGGGGGGCGTTTTGTGGCATTTTCGGGATTTGGGCCTCCTGATAAGGAGGCCTTTTATCTCATTCAGGTGCTCTTAGGGTTTCCACGTGTCATCTTCCTATATGGACATGTGTCACCCTTTAATTGGGGCACGTGTCACTATGGGATTGGACCATGTGTTGGGGCTTTTTTTTTTTTTACCCTAAACAGAAATGAACAGGGCCTAAATTTGATTATACGAGTACAGAGTACTTCGAATTACAATATTTTTCTCTCCTCTCATTATCCCACTCAAAACCACAATTTTCATTGTATTATTTCTTTCCCTTTCATATATTTTATTTTCAACAAAATATTAACCATATTAGGCTCTGTTCACTCCACTTTAAAAAAATAATATTCTGTAAAAATGAGTTTAGTTCAGTAAAAATAATTTCACTTCAATAAAAATAATTTCAGTTCAGTAAAAAAAGAAATTTAATAAACAATCAGTAAAAATAATTATAGTTCAGTAAAATTAATTTTAGTTCAATGAAAATAATTAAAGTTCAGTAAAAACAATTTATGTTCAGTAAAAATAAAGTGAAGTGAAAGGGTCTGTTCTGTTCACCTTATTTTCACTTATTTTAGGTCTAATAAGTTCAGATAAGGAAAAATAAGTTCTAATAAGGGTTGCTCAAGTTCAAATCAACTAAAATAAGTTTCAATAAGGTCTAATAAGTTTAGATACGTAAAAATCAAGTGAATAGAACAAAACCTTTACTCGTTTTTATTTATTTATTTATTTATTTATTTTTTTTTTTTTTTTTTTTTTTAATTTTAAAAAAAATTTTAAAATTTTTTGATACTTAATTACCTCACTTACATCTTTTTTATATTCTAAAGTCAAATCATCTACCTAAGTCCCTATTCATTTTATCTTATTTTTTCCTAAACTAATACATAACATTATCTTAGAGAACCCACGATCCAAGCCCAATTAGTAAAATGTGAAACCGAGTTCAATTTATTTTAATAAGAAGCCCTAATAATTGAGAAAATACAAGTTGATATTAATGATAAACAAAAAAAAAATGTTAATCTAGTGACATTTCTGTAAATAAGTCAACAACATTATCAACGAAAATGTCATGCTGATTGGGATATATCTATTAACTATTACTAAAACAAAACATGCTGACATCATTAAGGGACACATGTCAACTTCTCATGAAAAATTTTCCCACCTAAACTATTTTTGAGATAATTTTTTTTTTCTCTATTTATTTCCTTCTAAGTTTTAAAACTGAAAAAAAAAATACAATATTTCTTTCAAAATTAATTAATGTGATTATGATTATACTTTTTTTTTTTTAATAAAAACTATGCTGACATCATTAAGGAACACATGCCAGTTTCTTAGAAAAAATTTCCCACCTAAACTATTTTTGACATAATTTTATTTTTTTTCTCTATTTATTTCCTTCTAAGCTTCATGACTAAAAAAAAAATACAATATTTCTTTCAAAATTAATTAATGAGATTATGATTATACTTTTTTAATAAAAAATATTGACAACCCTTTTAAATAAATTACAGTTTTTTAATCTATGCAACGCACAAGACTAAATTAGTAATTTATTTATTTACAAAAATGACACTACGAAAACGATTTTTGTTTATTAGGTTGATTAGCTGGCCTGGGCACCCAACCAAAAAAAAAAAAAAAAAAAAAAAAAAAAAAACAAACTACTGATAATAACCCAGAACTCCTGAAGCCAAAATTTAATCTTTTTGTGACAAGAGTGATGACAACTACTTCACTTCTAAATCCTTATAAATTACCCGTTTCTCTTTTATCGCAAAACCCTTCAAACAAATTCAACCTCAAAACTCACCAAATTCTTCAAATTCGCAGTTACAAAACTCCTCGATTTTCACGCCCCAGTAGAATTATAGCAGTTATGTCAACAGAGGCTGCTGATCAAAGCAGAATAATTGTTGAAAAGATGAATAATTTGCTTTTTGTTGAGATGGGGGTTGGTTATGATCAACATGGATTTTATTTCATGATTTCTCTTCTTTTATAATTATTTTTATTCATGGTTTGTTTTATTTATGAATTATTAATAATAATTGTAATATGAAAAATTGTTGGGCAATGGTGAATTCAGGCAGGATATAACTTCTGCTGCAATGCGGGCTTGCCGGGATGCTATTTCTTCCAATTCTATCCCTGCTTTTCGTAGAGGTATTCTCCCGTTTCTCCTGTTATTTTTAAGTGGGCTAGGTCAAGTATTTAGATTGATCAATCTCACATCTCACATGTATGAATAATTAAACTGTGAACTTTTTAATGGTTAGTCTAAATTAAATTAACTATTACCCCTCCTTCTCTTAAAGATAGTCCTTGGCGCGTTTGGTAGCAAGTTATATATAGTGATATTAAATGTCTATGATGTGTTATAGACACCCTTATGTTAAGGTGACTATGTGATGGTTGTGATTCTCTGTTTATTGGCGAGAGATTGTTGGGATTAATATTGTTTGAAGCAATTATGTTGTTTTCACTGAAGCAAAGGTACTACAACCTCCATCTCTTATTAAAGACCTCATTTTTTGGGGCTCAAGATTTTAGAAGAGGACTCGTAAAAGTGTAGATGGGTATTTTTGACTAAAGTTGAATTAAAAGGAAGTGTGATATATTTTTTTTTCTTCTAGGGGATGAGAGAAGATATAGAGCCATTAGAGAAGATACATGATTAAAAGTGAATAAAAAAAGTAGTGGATGGTGTATCCTACCCAAGTAAGAACGAGGCTTTTAAATGGGACAAGTGTTTTAGGAGAACTAATGACTTTGTTTGGAGACTGAGGAAGTATTTTATTAATGCTATTGTACAACATATGCAAAGAGGATTACAAATTACAGGATATACACCCCTAGCTAGGAATTATCAAATGGCCTGTTTCTAATGTAATGCTACACTGGCCAAATAATTAGTGATCTTCTTGCAAATACTGACGTTTTTAATAAATTGAGAAAACTTGTTTTATCTTTAACATACTCCTGTAAGACGAATAGTCATGAGGTGGTTAGAGCACTAGTAGCTCAAAATGAGCTCTATTAAGAGACTTGCAAAAAGCATCGACAAGTTCTTTGCCAAAACATATGTGACCAAGCTGAATTGTAACACAAGACACGATGCTTCATGCATGATATGAAGATAACTTGGCATTGTAACACATTATATGATATGTTTTCGGGAAAGCTTGACACCAATTTCAAGGAGAAAATCTAGAGACGTCTCTATATCTTGTATTAGACTATTAGTAGAAAAGGTAGGTATTTCTTGAAGCTCAAAGAAATAGAATTGCACCTAAGATAGATGAGATATACGGATGTCCAGTTTAGACATATTCGTTAACTTGTTATTGCCTCTGGCTATATAAAATGGCATGAAGCCGCATTGGAGAGTTTTTTATGGAGGAGAAGGTGATGGTTTCAAGTACCCGATTTGTTAGGAAATAAGGGTGTAATCGTGTTTGATTAATGCGGAATAAGTCAATGAATAATAAGAACGAGAAAAGCAATAAAGAAAATAAACAAAGAACACAAGGATTTATGTGGTTTGGTCAAATTAGACCTACATCCACGGGTGGGGGATTCGAGAGCTTCTTCACTATAATGGAGGAAAAACGAGAGAATAATACAAGGAGTCCTAAATCTAATGGCTTAAAAGGTATGATTTAATTGATCAACTAAAGGGTACTTTTATAACACAAGGAAACCCTAATAAAAACCCTAAATTGTTCCCCAAGTATACTCAAATATCCGTCATAGAAAAGATATAATTTTAGGAAATATTCCATAAGTTATCCTAGAAGAACCAAAATTGCCGAGCTCTGCCGCAAGTCTTCATAGGGCTGAGCTATAGCTTGCCCGCTCGTCGCAATTTTCCAGCTTCGTTAGGTTTTCGTAAAACAGCCATAGCTTTCTCGTTTCTTATCAGAATTGGGCATATGACCTACCGTTGGAAAGCTCTTGAAACAAGCTATCACCTCCAACTTGAATCACCTCAAAATCACTTGTAGTTTGAGAGATATCTGTATTCAAAGTCAGCCCTACTAGATTTCGAGTCACAATTTAACACGACTAATAATGATACTAATAGTGACCTTTGGTTGGCTTATTTGTTGTTTTGGACTATTTGTGGATGGTAAGTTCTGAGAGAGAGAAGGGTATTGGAGGCTGTCAACGATAGTAAGATACTTGCTATGGTTGGGTATGAGATTATCTTGAAAAATGAGAGATAAATGAGTGACTATGAGAGTAGAGGTCTCATTTAGCTTCTAAATTTTTGGAGCATGGGAGCTCAATAATGTACTTCTGTTGGGTTAGGAAGATGCCTTAGGGTGCATAACAACTTGTTAGAAGTTGTTTGAAAAAGTGGTGATGAAGTCATTGGCAACAATGGGGTACGGTCCAATGATATTTATGTCATCTATGTAAACAAGAACATAAATAGATGACATACCTTGTTAGAGAATGGAGGAACATTGGAGATAGAGATGTGGATTTGGTGGGCTTTGAGAAAAGTCCAAAGCTGTGATACCAAGCTCGAGGAGCTTATTTGAGGTCGTATAATGAGTTTTCGGGGAACACATATGAGAGGGATGACTCTGAGAGGATTCAATGAATCTGGGTGGTTTAGCTATGTATATATCTTTCGTTGAGGAACAAAGGTGGAGGATTGCTTATATAATTCAGAGCTTTACAACCCATACAATAAACCGTCTCAATTCACAACATTTTGCATGAAATGTGGTGGAAAATTTATGTCTTGCAGCTCCTAAAACTCTTGGGCGAATTCCCAAGTAAAAAAGTATTGGATGGTGTATCCTACCCAAGATAGATGAGTGGAGTCAGAAAAGGCATGTTGGCATCCCATGTCTTGTAGCTTTAAGAAACAACAAGCACCTGCTACCTCATAAATTGATACAAGCATATATAGAGCCATTTTTCTCAGTTAACTCCGTGCCAAGCTTCCTCTACAACCTACCAGTGTGACAGTCTCTTGTTTTTTCACATAAACATGAAGTATTTTGTATTGTCTATTCACGACCAGCTTAATCCTCTCGCTCGTTTTTAAAACTTATGTTCTAGATTGGACTCAATGACACACCCATATGGTCGCTTGTTTTGCAGGAGCATGTTAAAGATAAACACGTATTTCTAATTTGTTTACTAACTCCATGTTTGTTAATTTGTTAACAGTATAACATTATTTAAACCACACATTTTTAGGTAGTTCCACCAGCTCTTCGAAAGTATATAGGGTGCACTCCTGTAATCCTCTTTATATATGATGTAAATTTGCTTCAATGAATAAAATTTGATCATTTCAACACTTCTTTTCTCTTGATTCACATTGTTTCTTGACGTTGGAAGCTAACCCTGTGTGCTTTCAAGGGGATTGGTTAGCCTTTGGGCCTTGGGCATTCAGTGGCGGATCTAGGGGGGTACACAGAGGTACAGCTATACCCCCATTCCGCGAAAAAAAAAAAAAAAAAACTGATAACAAATGAGACTGCCTGTATAAATAGGTGGTCTCTTAGGTACTGCTATGTAGTTTAGTTTGCCACAACAACTAATAGCCCGCCTTTTTAGTGTAAAATTTAAACAGACTGCCTATTTTAAAAAGTGGTCTCTTAGGATATTTGACTATTTTTCACGCCATAGTACTACTTTTTATCAAAGAGACCTATTGTTACAAATACCAGGTCTCTTTGGTGATATTTGTTAATTTTTCAAAGATTAGTACTTTTGGTCAAAGAGACCTATTGTTACAAATAACAGGTCTTTTAGATAATCTCTTTTTTACTCCAAACATATTTAGTTACTCAATTATAAGTCATGTTTTATAGTGCACAAATACTAATACAATAGGCAAAACTATTACGCTTCACATATGACTTTGCATTTTGTATTTTTTTTAAAACTTAATTCCGTACTCCCATTTCCCAAATCCTGGATCCGCCACTGTGGGCATTAGATTGGAGCTCAAAGATGTTAGCTTCATGTGTTGGTGCTTTGTGTACCAACTTCATAGAATAAGCAGATTAAGCACACCAAAATCACTCTTATGAAAGGTCAAAAGTTTTCAGAATTAGTTATCTCATTGCCAATTTTTAGGATTCATATAAATATCCCATCTATCTCTTTTAGATAACCAGGCTTGCAAATCAGATTTTTCTACCAAATTACCAATCAAGGCTTTAAATATAATGAAAATAAATGTGAAGAGAATGAAGGAAACAATTGATATTTGGTCTTGCAGTTATTTGGATGTTATCAGTGTAAAAGGAGGGTGCTTTGAGTAATGTAATTCTAATGATAATTACCTCATTCTTTATATATTCTAGGCCTTGCACACAAGGATACTTGAATCTGTATATGTACATTTATGTAAGATGCTTATTCTATGTTTTCAACAATTATCCTCTAGATCTGTCCTTTTGTATTTAATGAGATGCTTCTCTGTTGGAAAGATAAACCTAAATATAGGAAATCTACACTAGCTACAAGTTTTGCTTATAGGCCGAACTGTTTGAATGCCATGCTAATGACCCACCTCTTCTTCCTGGTTATGAAAACCGACAACTGAGTCACCTTCTTGAATTTCAAATGTGTTGTAATATCATGACTGCTACACACTGTTGTGAAATTATAGGTGTCAGAACTACTTGGTTTTTGTAAATTTGATTGGTGCTTTATAATTTGATGGCAGGCTCTATACCAGGTGTTTCATTTGAGCAAATGAAACTGCAAATCAAGCTTGGAGTACCCCGATCTCTTCAACAATCTCTGGACATTGAGAAGGTCAAATCTGTGTTTCCATAGTAAGTATTAATATTTCAACTTCATATCTTGCTTTTTAGCAGTGTAGATAAAAGTTTTGTGTAGTGATATTTCTAATTCTATCTGCATTCTGGTAATACTATTCTAAAGGAAATGCTCTTGTTTGCTCATTCCAAAGGCATTAGGAAATTGAGAATGCACTTAATTGACATAGTCGTACAATATATGAAGTATGAGATGCATTCTTACTCGTCAAATATGTAGCCCCTTTGTTTTATTTGTAAAATTGTTTCATATTGACTTTAATGTTTGCCAATGCACAACTTAGATCATTAATATATCTAATTATCTAAAAGTAAAAATTATAAAATTTGATAGTATACGTTGAGACATTACATATTAACATTTGTTTATATATACTACGGAGTAGCAGAAAAACATGGTCCAAGTACGACAAGTGAATTGTGTAAAAAGTCAGTATAGAATCATTATAAAAAAAAAAATATTGAGGGAATAGTTGTTAGGTTTGGCCTAACTTCTTTCAATTTTTTTCTCTATGCATAGCCAACACCTTGCAGCAAACGAGATGCTAGATTATGACTTTTGATTTTTGGTTATTTGTGTATGTGACTAAGTTTTATAGAAAGCAGCAAATTTAGACGCCTTCTTATTTATGGTAATTTCAGATACTTGTAAATACTAAGGGACTGAGAAGTTTACTGTTGGAGATATGCAAACAGCAAATTCCATTTTCACAACATGAATGCTAAAGTTTGGCTTGCTTGTTATAATTATAAAATTGTAATTTGGATCTGTTTCAAACAGACTGTGTTTATATTTTGTTGGTTTTGCAGTATTTCTTAACTTTTTTATGTAATTTGCCAAAATTTGGTGAGACAAGTTTGAACCTGTTAAAAATGTCACTGATATTACATTGTGCTATTGCGTAAAAATTAATTTTGTTGGTTTCATTGTTTTCTGCAAAAGCAGTGGAAAAATCCTTGATGTTGAAGTTGTCGATGGTGGACTCATATGCTCAAGTGGTGTTCATGTGGAAGAAATGGGAGATAAAAATGATGACTGTTACATTGTTAATGCGGCTGTTTACGTTGGTTACTAAGAACTATATATTCTTGTCTGGCTTTCTGATACTCTGAGGTTAGTTGTCATCTGACATTTTGATATAAAACATTTTATAGTACTAAAATCTATACGCATAGTTGTGCATTTATGACCATTAAGGTTGGCAAATGAAGCTGGTAGTGTCACATATCACCAAAATTTATGCTATTTCCTATTGATTGGCTATATTTCTTTTTCACAAATCTGGTGGTATGCATGTTAGGCTTGTGATTATTTACAGTCATTTTTGTCTTTTCCTTAAATACATGGAAAATTGTAAACCATGTGTTCACAAGGGTGAATAAGTCAATAAATTGTAATCTTCTCAGGGTTTGGATAACTATGCCAAATCAATTCGGAAGAATGAAGATGGACTTGCTGTACGTGTGTATCTGCTTTGCATGTGAACATGAACATCACTCTCCGTGTGTCTGTTATCTTTGTAGTTACTCTGACTTTTTCACATTACTCCATATATAACATGTACGTTCATCTCATTAATGCAATTGGAAAAAGGCGTTGCCATTCTGATACCTATTGATACCTTTCCTGCATGGGCTGCATCTTGTTGGTTCTGAAGTGAAGTTTTATAGAATTAGTAAGTTGGGCAAGAACACCCCCCCCCCTCTCTCTCTCTCTCATAAATAAATAAAACTCCATAATTTACTTATTCAATATACAGGCATAACATAGCATCAAGTACTCTATCAATAAACGTTATGTTCTGTACAGCGATAGTTATTCGTGCCATTTCTGATGACAGCAGGGAAGAAAAGAAAAAAGGAACATCGTATTCTTATTTTTCACCCCCTCCACTCTTAACCAGTTGTTAACAAAGGGAATGTGAAGAAAAATAAGGAAAAAAAATATTTACATACATTGTCTTCAGCCACTTTACATGATTTTACAAATCAACAATCAGTTTGTGGAAGTTTCTTTTAGTGTATAGTAGTGAAAATATGACAATCTGTTTGGATCGTGTGGAAAAAAGAAAGCTTGAATGACTATATAGGATGGAGGGAGTAGATTTCAACCCGAGAATTATTATCTTCGATCCACCCCACCCTCTTCTCTCAAAAAAGAGAATGTTGCTTCTTTATTTGTATTCATGTACGTAGAAGCTTGTAAGTGTTGTAGATTTTGAGGAGAGCCTCAAGACCCTTCTAGAGAAGTATGAAGCCGATGAATGTGTAAAAAATAGGCCCGTAGGCTGGAAAAATGCTTCTGATAACTCCTTTGTCATTTCTGGACGCATTTCTGGTCACTTGAGGGGATCTGCAATAGAAAGGAAACCATTTGAAGATAATTGGAAGAGTGTTGGTTTTGCAAATCCTAATTACTTATTAATTCCTGTTCTCTTTTCCCTGACATTATTTAGGGGTTGAACTGTTGTAGTTCAGTTTGCAATCTGTATGTCAATGATGCCTTATATGTAGTATAGTTAAATATGTCAAAGTGATGCTGGTTATGAAAGTTTTGAGTTATGACAAAATTAATGATGCTGCTGCGTATGGTTCAAATGTTCAATGCACATTAAACTCAATTGCTATTCTTTTTGTTAGACAATTTTGTGATAAATGTTATTTAGTATTATTAGAAATATATGGTGGTGGCTTGAGAGATATAGCTGGGAGATGCATCCTGGAAAGTGAGATGGAGATTTTTGTTTTCAAAGATAATTTGATCTGGAGAAGGATAATTTCTGACAATAGAGTAGGATTCAAATTAGATATTTTCTGTATTGGACCTTTGGATTATACAGCGTACATCAATATGGACATAATATCGTCACTCATCCTTCGAGAGCAACATATCAAGCTAAAAAAACAATTTTTACCAAGACACACCTATGAACTCCTTATTTCCTATGATAATAACATGAAGCATCAATAATATCTTTTTCTTTCTATATTTTCCCTTTACCTTTCTACCATCTTAATGATTTGATAAATCAACATAAATTGCAACCTAAAGAAAGAACAAAAAGACTTTGTTCAGAGTCTGGGGTGGAAATTCACATGAGTAGAGCGGCATATAAAAGCTCATTCCAAGTGTCTGGCAATCCAGGAAGGCACCAGTGGCTGCAGTCTATGCCACTGTGATCGCCGCTGTAGGCCTCTGGATGAGCATCTTTCCTCAACTGTGATAACGTTGTTATGTCAAGTAGGTAAGCTGGTTTCTTCATTGTGCTGATTACTTTCCTCACTATGTCTGCTGCTGGAGGTGAGCCTCCAGGGTATATCGAACCTGATAGTGGTTCTGCCTCCCCACTGCAGCTCTTTGAGGCCCCATGCCATTCTCTGGGACTGTGATACAAAAGAACATGTGCATTATTGAATTGTTCTAGCACTTTTATCAATAATATCATAAGTATCCTGTTTTCTAGCATATATCTGATCAACAACAGGATTCAGCATAATGATTGATTGACTGATTGTGTTAAATGCAGTGGTTGGCTGTCTGTAAAGACAGTCATTAGAACATAAGAGGGGCAGGGGGTAGAAGTTTGCTTAAAGATATGATTAAGGAGTTTTACCAAGGTTTTCTGCAGTAAAAATGTATATTTGGGGATTACGATATACAGTATAGCACAATAGCTTAACTTATTGCCCCTTCTCCCTCTGGGATTCTAAGACTTTAATGTTGGATGTATATAAGCAGCAGCTATGAAACAAACACTAGGGATGTTGCTATTTTTGTACTAAAAATATCTACATTCCCTTATTTGAGTTGCAAGTTATTTCCTTTTAGCATGTATGGTTATTGTCCCAATAGAATGTACTCGTAATTGCTTTCTAAGTGGGTTCCTTTATCTTTTGACTGCAATGTCCGAGGGTCCTGATTGAGCTCCCGACTACTCTATCACTTCTCCGGTCCATAAACAAAAGGAGAGATGGGATGGAAAAAAGGTATAAGGGAGACAGAGAAGCAGCAGACAGAAAATGAATGATTGATGCTGTGCCGGCTGTGTTCTTAATTCTGTAGGGTACATAGACAACTAAATCCAGATACCTGTAGACCTGCCCATGAGCTGGTGAGCTGAAAATCAAACCAGTTCAAGCACAGGCCAATTTTGGCCATGGCTCACAACTTCACAGACCTATTACAAACTTTCAGTTTAAAAATAGCCCTGTTTCAAAACCGGTTCAGGGCAGCTTCACGCTGCGCCTCACCTGAACTGGCCCGTCTATTAGTATATAGGCAGCATGCAGTTCATGGTTGATAAATGATTATTAAGCCACAAAAGGGGGCAATCAGGCAAGCTGTTATAGAGCAGCACAGCTTGTAAAAGAGAGAAAAGGCATAAAACTAGACAAAATCAAAACTTACTCATAATGGGTAGGAGAAATGCCCTGGAAAAAGACTTTGGTTTTGGATGGATCAACATTGTTATCAACCCATCTAGCCCATGTGGTTAACCCTTTATTGAAGGCGGTTAACCGGTCCATATCCTTAACAACTTTGGGCCCGTCTTGTATATAATCCCATCTGCAATATATATCACAATCAACAATTTATTAACATTAATTAACATATAATTGGGCAAGAAAGCTTCTAATGGATTAAATTTGGATAAACTCTTTAATAACTGTCTTTAATTTTGAGGTGGGTCCGAATCAAATAACCTTAAATATAAGTCGATTTGTACTGGTCCACTATCATTTCCTTGGATTTGTTTTGCTACTTTGTAATCTTGAAAATATGTTCTTTGATCTATCAACGTCGAATTAAAATCATCGTTTTCAAACTAGTGATGTTCTTATCCTTAGATCACATGCCAAAATAATGGAAAATAGTGAATTCCTTAAATATTTATTTAGTCTATATTATACATGAACTGATAATGATTCTGATATATAAAGTGGAAACTTTTCTTTGACTGAAAATAATTCATCACTATATATATACTCCCTCAATTTTGAATTAGTTGTTATAATGTATCCAATTATTTATATAATGCTTAAGACATGTTAACTTGATCATTTCATGTAAAGAGTTGCATTTTAGGAAACTTAAATTATTATGAACTGAGTACTACTTCAAGAAAAATGTTCCCATTTTATCTGAACGACGCAATAATATACGTGACCAATAAACTAATAAAGCGGAAATAAAACAATATATGAATATATGTTATGCAGGGTTGGGGGCAGAGGATAAGAAAGAGTAGGAAGTTACCCTTGTGATGCTCCGGTGTGAAGCCACCAATGCCATGTATTGAAGATGAGTACATCCATGTTTTTCCAAACACTACCTCCTTCGATCGAGTCTAACTTGAGAACTCGTCCAATTGGCTCTTTAATTATGTCTACTATGTAAGTTGTATGGTATAGTTGCACACTCACCCCATATTCCTGCATCATCCATCACAAATTTTCATTAAGCATTTCATTTTAGTTTTTAGGCAATTGAATGTAACATTCAAATAATCACATGGACAATGAATTGACCAAGTTTTTGGCGATACTATTACACGCTACTTATATTCTAAGACATTAAAAGCTACTAATAATAGAAGAGTACGTAATGTTGATTATGAAATAAAAGGTCACATTGATCTTGACAAGTAAAAGTGAGATTGTCTTATATAAATGGGGGAGCCGCAGTTTATCTTTATGATAAACATGGGATGTTTATCTTGTCTTGGAAATTGTATAAATTGATTAAAATAATACTTTCTTTGACTGAGTTGCTTCCAACTATCCATTTCTTCAACTTGTAAAATTAAAGACGTTACCCAACTTCATCCTTCATTCTCCTTCTTCCTTCATCCTCTTGCTACCTCCATTGAAACTGACTTCTCCTTCTTCCTCCATCTTCTTTTCCTTCCGCGATCTCCATCCCTTCCACCAACACCACCATCTCCGGCGGCTTCGCCGCCAAATTAAATGAAAACCCTATGGAAAAAGGGTGAAATTAAGGGCATGGTGAACCCCTAAGGGTAAGGGTGTTATCCTCCTCCATTGAAGTTAATTTTGAGTTCCACTTTTTCCATTGAAGCTTTTGTAATTTCTATTGAAGGTTTTGCACCATTAATGGTGTTCTTCATGAAGTTAACTCCTTATTGTTGAAATTACAAGGCTACCCAAGTTTAAGTATATAAATTGACAACTATACCCTCATGATAAACACAATTTGTTTATCATGAAGATAAACTAGTATGTTCCCTATATAATACGTGCTTTGTCTTCTGTCTCTACAATTGACTACGATATCTCAAGGTATCTATCAAACATTTACTTACGAACTAACAAAACTATTTTCGAGCATCTTATAGTTTTTTTCGGTACTGTCAAAATGGTTTGAAAGTTCGGTTTCGGTTCGGTTTGAAATCGGTTCGGTTTAAAATCGGGTCGGTTTGAAATCGGTTCAAATGTCTTACGGGTCGGTTTCAGTTCGGTTTGAATAATTATCGGTTCGATTCGGTTTCGGTTTATTCTTGAACGGTTTAAATTCGGTTCGGGTTGTAAACGGTTCGGGTAGTAAACGGTCCGGTGCAAACGGGTTGCGGTTTGTTAACAGTTCGGTGTAAACGGTTTTTATCCCGGTTTAAATTCGGTCCGGGTTGTAAACGGTTCGGGTAGTAAACGGTACAGGTTGCGGTTTGTTAACGGTTTTTGTCTGGTTACAACACTTTGGTTCTTTTTTGGTTCAGTTTTATTTTAGTTCGGTTTATAACTGGTTCGGTTCGTTAACGGGTACGGTTCTTCTACGATTTAACATTATTTGGATCGGTTTTATTTCAGGTTTACTAAATTACGGTTCGGGTCTGTTTTTTATTTCAAAAAATCGGTTTTTTATCGAGTCGTTCAAAAAACTCCTTATAGGAAGTGGTTTGTAATGGTTCGAATTATAAGCGATTCAGTTCATAAACGGTTCGTTTATAAGCGGTTCAGTTTATAATCAGTTCGGTTTATAAACGGTTTGGTGCAAACGGGTTGCAGTTTGTTAACGGTTCGGTGTAAACGGTTTTTATGCCAGTTTAAACGGTTTCGGGTTAGAAACGGTTCGGTTCATTTTCGGTTCGGTTTTCCTTTCAGTTCGGTTTAGATTTGGTTCGGTTCTTAAACGGTTTAACGTTTACTCGGATCGGTTCGGTTTCGGTTTTACTAACATGCGGTTCGAGTCGGTTTTCGGTTTCATAAAATCGGTTTTTAATCGGTTCGGTTCTCATTCGGATCGGTTGAAACGGTTCGGTTTCACCAGTTCGGTTCGGTTTTTGACAGTGCTAGTTTTTTTAATGTAGAGTCTAAGACTTGCATTTGTACACTTTGGGTAGGAAGTTCGAAATTGTAGAGATTCCAATTCAATCGACTATAGCTTGACCTAAAAGAAGTTTATTTTAGTAGCCTAGGTAGTTAATACTTAACAATAAGAAAGCTATGAAATATCTAGTGATGGTTAATAGATCAGCATATGGTCATGTGAGTGTAGGCATCTATTAATTTTGGATCAGTTTATATTCAATCTTAAGACCTAAGAGTAAAAATTTGGTACTTATTTTTTTTATTAATCTCCACATGTTTAATCAACAAGAGCATCTTTCTCTTAATTGCTTGAGGCAGTATATATTGGATTGGATTTTTTATTGTTCTTGACTTAAAGAGCATTAACAATAAGACACATTTTCCAAGAAATTTATACCAAGAGTTTCCATCCAAATAAATTTTGGTTGCTTGCTCAATTATAGCATAGCAAAGGTTCTCCTAGTCCTAACAAATTATACCTAAAAAAAAATACTGTTACTTGTATACCACAATGTTACCAAATTTCTTTAAATAGTTGTATTATCGTAACACTATTCATTATCAATTGTTATTCACAAGGGTATTTTGAAAAGCCATTAATTGCCTTCAAATTGTTCTTAGTTTCAGTTGTAGCAAAACCTAGCAAATACTAATTCGTTTTTAATCGTAGATTATACCGATCCAATTTTTTATCTATGAAATTTGTTGTGGGATATTGGAAGAGAGTATTATTATCATGTCGGCATTAGTGTTGTGTTTGTGTACAACCACTAGTCCACTATTTTGCTACAAGTCACTAAGCATAGAACGGGAAATTTTTGAGCCCTTGTAATGGACCACTTGAGCACATCATACTAGTAGACTATTGTACTAGTGTACTACTTTCTAATAATAGTATACTACTCTACTTTCTAACAATCACTTTCTTTTCTTTTCCCTTAAAAATGTATCTCTTAGCTTGCTTTTCCATGTCTACGGCCACTAATAAGTAGACATAAGATGAACGAATTTTATGTGTCACCGTTCCATACTTTTAACTTATATAAGTAATAAATCCAAAAAAAATATCTTCTTTTTGTTCTCGCAATGCAAAAGTGAAAAGAAATTATACCCCTCTCTCAAGGTCCGCCGATCCCTAATCCCAACATCGATCATCATACTATCTGTTGCCCACCAAAATTAATTTTGGCACAATTATTGTGAGTACATAGTTTTCTATGTTTTTCTTATATGTAAGTGTGCCAATATCAGACTCCGTTGTATAGTGAGCACTACTAACAAACGATGTAGGAGTAGTCATATTGTTATGATAACTTCCTTGTAATAATGACATGACATCATTTAAGATAGATATAACAAGATTGAGCATCACAAAACATAAAGTTAAGAAACAAAAAAAGGAAGCAACCTTCATACTTATGAAATATCAAACTGTATAATATATGATGGGGTTGCAGCTTTAGACAGAAAGATAGAAGCCTTTGGCTGTTTATAATCTGTTATGAAACAGTGGACAGTAGAACATATGAAGAGTGGATGGACCTAACTTAATTTCCATTTTAGCTGTCCTACATGTTAGTATGGTTGCCCTTTGTCTATTTGTCGGCAGCTCATACTTGTGTCTAACTACTAGAAACTTTTATGTCACAAATTTTTTCTTAAAAAAAAATATTATACGTATAACATATAGTTGCATCTTTATTTGCTAATTAATTTGTTACTTATTACAGTATATTATCATGCATGTTGCTTTTGTCTATATATTAATGGCCTTGTTATCCAATAGCATAGTGTAAACTTAGTTGTATAGAGAGCTTATGGCCTCATATTCATTTTTTATTTTAATTAGAGTGTATTTTCAATCTTCTTTTAGAGGAAAGTTTAGCTTTTACAGCCTGTTATAAAATATATGACAATAATAGAAATAACTTGTAGCAAAATAGAATGTTAGATAACGATAAATAGTATACGACGATAATTCGTATAAATGACTATATTTGTAATTCTTTTGACCAAAGGTTCATGGTAATGGAAAGTTTACTTTCTAGCGCATGTGTTTCTACTATTGTTTTCATTTTTTCCCGCAAAAATCACCTATAACCGTAGTCCATGGATATTAACATTTAACAAGATATTTTTACAAGTTTAAGTCTAATCTATTCTTAGAATCATATCATACCATCATGTAAAATCGCGTAATAAACAAGCTATTAATAGTATTAAGCTAGTTCTATGTATCAAGGGCACATTCGACATGCCCAAATAAGTATGGAGGATATTCTAAGAAAAAATAAATGTTAATCCACGCTCTGAAATGAGGCAACCTTTCGTTGTGGTATGGCTAGGAGTCCAAGGACTAAAACAAAACTCCCATAATTGAACCTTATAGGCTTATACTACTATTCTATTGCAAATTTGCAACACAAAAATACTATGCATCCAATAATGATATGTTGGTTGGGTCTACCATACCATAGTGTAGAAGCTACATAAACATAATATCGCTTGATATGGGCAACTTCTATAATTATATTGGATGCACGAGTATTTCTCACTTCAAAATCATGCCGATTTATCATCCATGAACTATATCTTATTCTTAGTGGAATTTAAAGTGAATCAATTACATATTGCAGAAAGTGTGGAAGTACAGATTAAAGTTATTCTTCTATGACTAACATATCTGATATTATAGCAGCCAAAATGGAATTATATTTTTGTATACGAATAGTAAACTTACTGTCTCATTCCTTTGTTGCAAATAATATGAAACGGAGGTATTATTAGATAATGTTATTAGGTGATTTTACGAAATTTTATCCGAGACTTGATCTATATCATTGTCTTTTATAAATTTTAATTAATACTCCTATAAACATTTAGCTAGTAGGGGTAGAGACGTAAAGTTTTGACTTATAAAAAATATAAAGAAGAATAAAGAAAAAAACAAGATTAACATGCTAAAGACAATGGTAATTAAGCTTTTGGACCTAAGATGTGTACCTGACAGAAAATCAAGGGAGAAATTCGAAAAAACGACAAGTTGCAACCTTATGATTGAACCATTTAAAAAAAGAACTAGCGAATTTACCAATATAACCCCCACAACTTTAATAATTACTTGTATATATTTTTTTCCTATTAAAAACATTGTAGCATAATTTGTGGTCCAAGTTATAGCAATATTTGTAGAATTATGGTAAACCCCTACAACATGGGTATTGTCTGAACTTACGCTCTTTAGCACTTAAGTATGGAGAGAGTGCTATGCGTAATCATTACTCGATATTCATTTGTTTATATCATTGCCGTTTATAGCTCTCTACTCATAATTGTTCACTAAGTGTAAACTCGATACGTAACGAATTGTTTACCTACCGTTTTCCGATAAACTGATACATTACATACCACATTCTAAAAGTAACTGATAGTAGTAAATCACTATCAGTAAACATCAAGTAATAATTTTAAGACAACAAAGTTAAAAAGCAAAGAAGAAAAAAAAAAAAATGAATAATTCAATAATAAAAAGTTAAACTAACCTCAAAATTGACAGAGTAAATAGCGCCCTTCTTCCCCACGGTATACTTAACTTGAGGCGCCGACGCATGAACCATACAAGTTAACGAGTTCCATTGATTCAAACTCAGTGAGTCACCCACAAACATTATAGTCTTCCCTCTAAATCTCGTCAAAAATTCCACCCCATCAAATCTGCCAATATCACACGTCGAGAATGCAATTTGAACTAAGTAACGTGACAATTAAAAAAATCCGAGCAGTAATAAAACAGTACATACCTCGGAAGCGAGCATTCATCGGGGCTCCAATCATACTGGAGGTACACCTTATCGGGTCGACCATACTTAAGACAATCAAATTCAGGGTTAATAAAAGGGCAAGTAGAGAAATTATAAAGAGGTGAAGAACCACCATTAATGTTAAAAACCCATTTTCCTTGGAACAAATTACAACTACCCATTTGCTGTCTTCCTCTTAAATGGGAACCTTTTTTGTTAGAATGTTGAGGTTTTTGTGGTTTATGATGGTAAAGTGCAAAACTTTGTTGAAAAACAGAGGAAAACAGAGAAATAATTAAGAAGAAGAATAAATGAAGAATTTTATTAATCTTCATTTTATTCTTCTTCATTGGAGAGTGAAGTGGGTAGTAGTAGTATAATAGTAATGGTATAAAAAGATGTTGGTTTTTGGGTTTTGAGCTTTTTATAGAGGTGGGAATTTTGGGTTTTTGTTTTTAATTAATTTTTTATGGAATTTTTTTTTTTATTTTTTTATTTCATTGATTCACATGGGGTTATGTTTGTTAAGAGAGACAATGATGGTATATAATCTTTTTAATTTATTTATAAATATTTGGAGGGTGTGACTTGTGAGTTGGGAAAGTGTTGGTGAAAATTTTGGAGGGTATGAGGTTGTGTTACTTGTGTGGGGTTTATAGTGTGGGGAGATGGCGTGGGATTTAAATCCACGGGCCGTTAAAGACCCGGTTTAGCTCTTGTTCACTAGTGTCTTTTTATGGGGTACATTGTACAATTTACTAGGGTGTTATATTGAAATCCACGGGCCGTTCCCTGGTAGTATATTGAAACACTTTACTAGGGTGTTATAACTAATTGAGAATATACGCAATGATGAATACAGAATAGTCATGAGGTAAGACTCGAAACTTAAAACAAAAAAAAAAAAAAAAAACACTAATATTATGTACACTGAAATAGTTTTATTTCATATATTCGTGGAATTTCCTTGAAAGTGTAATTTTTATAGAGTAATATTTAAATAAAGAGAAAATGGTTAGTTAAAATTCTAGATGAGGTGATAATTTTTGCGTTTAATACTAATTCACTGATTACAATTTACACATTTTTATTCATTTTTTGTTTAAATTTTATCTACTTTTTTCTTATACTTTCTCACCTTTTTATTCCATGTTCCTTTCTTAACCACACTTTTCTTTTATTCATTCCTTCCAAACTTTCTTATACAAACAAAAGTATACAATAATTCTATGATTTTGGAAAATGATGGGATGGAGTATATACTCAATATTATTAGGGATGATAGTAATAAGAAGTTAAAAGTTAGAATAAAGGAGAGGGTACAAAAATAACTCTTTTTAATGTTTATTCATTTAGATGGCTAACTTGCTGGCTCTTTAGTTGACTTTATCTACCTTACCTAGGGGTGGCAATTCGGATCAACAGGTCGAGTTCGGGTCAGATTTCGGGTCGATTTCGGGTTGTGCTTAGAAACTATCAAAAAATAGTGTAAAACTAAATATTATTACGAAATATGAAATTTAGGTCAAATCGGGTCGAATTCGAGTTGTTCGGGTTCGGGTCGGATCGGGTTCGAGTTTCTCTCATTAACTTCGGGTCGGGTTATTGGGTCAGGTCAGAGATTGTTAGCCCTAACCTTACCTAATTTTTGTTTTAATAAAAAGTTGTGAAAGTTGTAATTGGTGAAATTGTTAAAGAGATGACCTATTTAGAGTATGGGTATTTAGATAAATAGTTCCCAATGATCCGTGAGAGGAGACAATAAGGTAATTACGCTTGAAATAAGATCTACTACCCTTTCTCTAGTTATTTTTTATTTTTTATTTTTAGAAAAAAAGGGAAACTACTTAATTAAAGCATAAAGAGTTAACAAGGTTTGTTTGGCTTCCCGTGGGAGAGCCCAAAATTACATCCTGGTTGGAGCCATTACTAGCAGCTAGCTGTACATCATTGTTCAGAGCCTTAATACAACAGTTAGGAGGTAGTTCTATATACATAAATGATTCAAAATATTTAAATTCTTCCTTGCATCCTTTGCCAGAATGTCAGCTACGCCATTTTTCCCTCTTTCTCCATAGAACAGCTTCACTTCAGGTAGATCCTGCAAATGCTGCTTGCAAACATGTAATGTTGCGGTTAGCTCTGAAGAAAGGATGTTATCATTTATCTCTTCCACCGCATCTTTACTGTCTGATTCAATGATACAATTGTTCCATCCTCTTGATTGTAACCATTGAATTGCTAGCATGATCCCTGCAATTCTGCATCTTTTGCTGATGCAGAATATCCTTTCCATTGAAAGCCACCTTGCAAAGTACCATTTTCATTTCTACAAATCCCTGCACATCCAGTCTCTTTAGAAACATTTATAGAGGCATCAACATTGATCTTGAGTGAGGAGGGTGGAGGTGGTTCCCAAGCCTTTTTATTAGGCTCTATTCTAGTGTTCTGGTTTTTTTAGGAGTAAAACCATTCACTAGCAGCCCAAATGCATTGGGATTTAGACTTTTGGAGGGAGTTGTTTGTGTGAGAGTATAGCCATTTGTTTCTTCTGATCCAGATATGCCAAAGAGCAAAAGTGAGCATAGTATTCCAAGGTACATTATTGTGAGAGATGGCTTTTGATTTCAGATTTTTCAGGATCCAAGATTGTAAGGATTCATCTTTGTTTTTTTTTTTTTTTTTTTTTTGCAGGAGGGAGGAATGCATAGTTCTAACTAAAAGTCAGAAGCTCTGACACAGTAGTAGAAGATGTGCTCAGTGGTTTCCTCATAATCTAGGTAGAAGGTGCAAGCAGGGTTTGAGCGGGTATTTCTTTTGAACAGGTTTGCAGAGGTGGGAAGTCTATCCCAAAGCAACTGCCAAAGGAAAATCTTTATTTTGGAAAGGTATTTACTTTCCATAGGATAGTCCAATCCCATAGCTGATTTGGATTTGTTGCTTGGACCTGGGTTTTGTTTGAAATAAGCCAATGCTTAGCCTTTTTACGTCAAATTTTCCTTTTTTTTTTTTTTTTTTTGTCCAAGTAGTGAAGTTGAAGGTCTTGGGAATGGTTTAGGATTGTCTCATCAATTCTAAAGAAAAGGCTATCAGGCAGTTGTAATTGAATTTGAGCTTCTAGTTCAGGCTTTGAGTGGATTGGGAGAGAACTGAGATTTTGGAGGTGGGAATTGATGTTTAATGGCCCCACTAGTAAGGATCTAAGGGATTCAGATTGAAGCCATCCATCAGCCCAGAAGTTAATGGTGTTACCATCTCTAGGTTGCCATTGAAGGTTGTTCTTGAATATGTCCCACCCTTTTCCAACAGCATTCCAAATATGAGAGCCCTTATTGAAGGGAATTGGGTTTTGCTTATGCTGGATGTATTTTTCGTAAAGAATTTTCCCAGCCCAGTTTGCTTTGGTGTCAATCATCCAGCGTAATCTAGCAAGGCCAATTTGGTTTAGGTCATCATGTTTCATAAAGCCTAACCCCCCGCCCCCCCCCCCCCCTTCTCTTTTTCTTGGCACACATTATTTCAGGAGACCCAAGTGATTTTCTTATTTTCATGGGTTCCACCCCATAGAAAGTTTGAGCAAATTGAGTCCAGTTTCCAGTGATGAATTTAGGAAGCTTTAGACATGTCATCTGGTATCTAGGGATTGAAAACATGGCAGATTGTAGTAACACAACTCTACCCCCTCTAGACAAGGTTTTAGCCTTCCAGGAAGATAATTTTCTTCCAATTTTATCAATGAGAACTGAAATTTGTCTCCTGTACCCGGTGCCCGTACTTCCAAAAGAAAGAAAAGTGTTGTCGATTACAGATGAATGGCTAGTGCTGCAATCAATAGCAGGGACAAACAATGTCAAGCTGATGCACCTGGTAAGAGAGGCACAACAGCTTCATCTCTCCGTCGGATGGGGAAAAATGAAAAGGGGAAGTCTCGAGATGTCGCGAATCAAGATAAAGAAAAACATCTTGTCCATGTACAGCAACTACATGGAGAAATATGTCGAATTGGACAACAATGTGGCGTATCCAACAAGGAAGGAGTTTAACCAACTACCCATAATGATTCCGGGCATGATTGTGCTGCTATGGAACGCTAGAGGAATAGCTCGGGATGGTTTCAAGAGAAACATCTGCCAACTCATTAAAGACCATGACCCTGATATCATTATTCTAACCGAAACAAAAGTTTCAAAGTTAAGCTGTGAAGAATGCATCTCAAACCTTCCCTACAATTCCTTTGAGGTGGTTGATCCTGTGGGCTTCTCGGGCGGAATTCTTATTCTATGGAACTCGGTCTACAACAAAATCATCATTGTTACGAAAGAACCACGTGCTACACACATTGTAGTTTACGTAAACCAAACTCTGGAATTCTTTTTATTTATGCTTCTACTTCGTATCATGGTCGATTAGAGTTGTGGGATTCTTTGAAATCTCTGAGTAGCTCAATTAATTTGTCGTGGCTTGTGTGTGGTGATTTTAATGAAATATGTTTTGACCATGAGAAATGGGGGGGGGGGGGGGAAACGCACACCCACTACACCAGATGAGAGTCTATAAAGAGACTATGGATGCTTGTAATCTGATAGATTTGGGTTATATAGGCCACACATATACTTGGTTTAACAAACAGGAAAAAAAAAAAAAAAACCAATTTTTGAAAGACTAGACAGATTTTGGGCAAATAATGAATGGATTCAAAATTTCCCTCAAAATTTCCATGAATGTCTTCTGATCACAACCCCTTACTCCTTTCTCTCAAGAAAAAAATTCACTTCACTTCCCTAAAGAAAAACCATTTAGATTTGAACCTATGTGGCTTTCTGATTTGCAATTTGCCTCCTTTGTCCAACAAAAATGGTCCCAATACAGCTCTACCTTCTCCCACAAACTGCAATCTCTAGCCACAGACCTCAAGTCTTGGGCTTCCTCCAATTTTGGATCAATTTTCAAGCAGAAAAGAATCCTTACAGCCAGAATTAATGGCATCCAGTTAGCTTACCAAAGATGCCCCACAAATTCTTTCCTTTTTGATCTAGAACAAAGCCTCCAATCCCAACTTAATCAAGTTCTTGAACAAGAAGAAATCTTCTGGCAAACCAGAGCTAGGTCTGAGTAGCTTCTTCATGGTGATAAAAACACAAAAAATCTCCACTCATGTGCAATCCTTAGGGGAAAGAAGAACAAAATCATCATCCTCAAAAATAATGTTGGTGAGTGGCTTGAGGATCCATCCAAGATTCATGACCACATATACAATCACTTCAACAACCTCTTCACTTCTGATCAAAACACCCCCCCACCACATATTGAATCCCAGAATTCCATTGACTGCACCATGACTCCCTGTCTAACTGAGATTAGAGAAGCTCTCTTCTCTATTAGCCTCATGAAAGCCCCTGGGATTGATGGTTTCCATGCCAAGATCATTTCTAAAATCCTTGTAAATAGGATAAGACCTCATTTTCACTCTTTGATCTCTCCTAACCAGAACAATTTCTTAAAGGGGAGAGGACCTGAGGTTAATTACATAATTACTTCAAAAATCCTCCACTCTATGAGGAATTATATAATAACTTGGTTCGTCTTAACATCTTTTTAAGTATGGTTTACCATTTTTTATTTACAAATTAATG